ACATATCTGTAGGATTTTATGTACTTGTTCTTATTTGTCATGGAAACTTATGCCTCATATAGGCTGAATCATTCTTGGCTTGCTTGGAATTAACTCTTCTGTAAATGATTTGTAATTTCTATGGTCACAATTTACAAAAAATAATAAACCATGATTCATTTATTCTGTGTGTGTTAGTGTGCGCACACACAATTTCCTGCTTGATTTAACATCAAAAGGCTGCTGGTACCCAGAGTACAAGCCCTAATTTGAACCATATCAATTAAACTGTTAGCTCTGATTAACTATCAAAAAATACCACATATTTTCTTTAGAGAGTTTCTTAATACTGGATATGTCTTATTTTGAAATACCTTACTCCATGACTGTACTGTTTCAATGTCAAGGCACATTTTTTTGCATTTTCATATTTCTGAAATTGGAATGGTGTGTATAAGCAATGTTCATGTTTAACATGTATTTTCCCTCTGTGATTGAAAGTGTGTCTTAATGTTGATGACATTTTACTACCCCAAAAATAAAAAAATGAAAATAGTAAGTAAATAACATAGTAAGCTGTATCAGTAAGTAGAATTTAACAGCTAACCACATCTGAATACAACATCACAGTAGATTTTTTTCCCAGGTTGACTTAAATAATTCTGAAAATCTAACTGAGTTAGCATTGGATATATACATATGTGTATTTATAGGAGCACACATATATATCAACATACATACAGACAGATACATATATACACAATATATACACCTATATGTATAGTCTCAGCCAATTACTTTAAAAATCTTTTGAATCAGGTATGGGAAATAAAAAGTTCGGTAGACATTGGTTTTTGGACAACTATTACATATTTATGTTATCTATATAAAATATGTATAAAAATGTAATATACATAGTTATAGATTTTATATATAAAATATGGCATATGCACACATGTGTACACTTATTCATAAAATTTTAAAACTGAATTTAGGTAAATCTTTGCTCACTTATGATAATTTTGCACTGACAATTTCATTGGAATGACAAGTAAGATACTTTCTTTCTTACATAAAATATTTGTTAAATTTAATTAAGTAATTTCCTTCCCAATTTCTTATTTCTAAGTATCTTATACAGATGTGGTGAAAGCATGTTTATTCTCTAGTGCCTAATCAGATGGATAAAAATTTATTATTTATTGAGTTATACGATATATGAGGCACTATGCTAGACCATATGTAGAACCTAAATATTAGTAGATGTATCAAGTGACTTAGGAATAGAATATGGTTAGTGATTTTCTTTTTAATTATATATTATTTCTATCAATTACTATGAATAAGCATTCACCAGATATTTACTTTAAATATGATCACTATACTGTATTTTAAAATATGGAGTGTAAAAAAAGTTGTATTTAAATTTAAAAGATCACCGACACCTCCCTCCCTCCTCCCTCTCTCCCCTCCCCCCCAAGAATGTCCTTTCCGTTTGCTTGTTGTAACAACAACAAAAAGGTATAGTTGTGATGGGCCATAATAATCATATACATTGTATATTGACAAAATAAAAATTTAATGAAAAAAAATAAA